GTGTATACGGGACCTGCATGTATTTGGGGGCTGTGTACAGGATGTGCGTGTATACGGGGTTGTATACAGGATGTGCGTGTATACGGGACCTGCATGTATTTGGGGGCTGTGTACAGGACGTGCGTGTATACGGGGTTGTATATGGGACCTGCGTGTATTTGGGGGCTGTGTATGGGATCTGCGTGTATTTGGGGGCGTGTATGTGGGGGTGTGTACGGGACCTGCATGTCCAGTGGGGGTGGTCGTGTATAGGGGCATGCATGTATATGCAGGAGTGTGTGTGTGTAAGATGTGCATGTGTGTAGGGAGGAGCTGCGTATAGGGCGCACGTGTGTGTGTGTGTGTGTGGTGGGTGTTGTGTCTGTGCACGTGGGTGTGGAGGAGTGCTCATGAGTGGGGATCAGGTGCGTATATGGTGGCCATGCGTGTATATGCAAGTGTGTATATCTATACATGGGAGAGCGGTGTATCCCAGCGTCTGCCGGGGTCTGCCCTGTCCACACTCACCAGCAACAAGGACTGCCTCCTGGTAACATCAACCCCCCCCCCCCCCCCCCCCCCCCCCCCCTCCCTTCACCCCCTCCCTTCACCCCCTCCCTTCACCCCCCACGTTCTCCTGAGTCTGTGAACTGATGTGGTCGCAGTTATAAATAATCGAGCAGTTTGTATGCTTCTTTCTCCTCCTGTGTGTCTAGCAGTGCCCATTCGGCCCAAAAGCGACACAACGCAGACAGTGATCGTGTTGCACCTCACCACAAACCTGCTCGTCTCAGGAGGAGATAGAGACCAGGCCCACGTTCCCTGCCGCCTCGTCTCATGTCCCTTCACCTCACCTATTTTTAAAAACCAGCCACATCAGTCCTTTGACCTGCACATCATTGCTTCCGGGATGCAGGCAGGCGCGCACAAAAATAGGGGGGAAAGGCTTGAGTGCTGAGGGCGGTCTGCACAGCAATAACCACAGGTTACAGCAAAAGTTGTGACCTGCTGAGCAAATTTCCATTTGCACTGGGCCAATAACCGAGCAGCTGCACTGCAGAGAGGGGGGATTGCACCCAAGGCAGGAAAAACAGAGGAGTTGAATATTATTTAAATGGAGAAAGACTGTAGAAAGCTTGGGAACAGAGGGATCTAGGAGTCCTCGTGCACAAATCTCAAATAAAAAAAACTAGTGTCCAAGTTCAGGCTGATTTTCCATTTGTTTCCCTAAGGCAATGGAGTACAAACTTAGGGGGTTCTTGCTAAAATTGTACTAAGCAACCAGGCAGACCACAGCTGGTATACTGTGAACAGTTTTGGGCCCCATTTGTCTGAGTAAAGATAGACTGCCATTGAGGCAGTTCAGAGAAGGCTCACTAGCTGATCCAGGGGATGGAGGGACTGCCTCATGAGGGAGAGGTTGAGTAGGTCGGGTCTGTACCCGTTGGACTTTAGGAGAATGAGAGGCGACCTTATTGAAACAGAAAAGGAGGGGGGAACCTGACAGGGGAGATGTGGAGGGATCGTTTCCACGCTTTGTGTGGGAGAGTCTAGGACCAGAGGATCAGAGTAAGTGGGGGGTCGCCCACTGAGGACAGAGATGGGGAGGAATTTCTTCCCACCGAGGGGAGTGAGTCTGTGGAATTCTTCACCGCAAAGGGCTGTCGGGGCTGGGTCGATCGAGGCTGAGATTTTTAATCAGGAAGGGGAATCGAGGGGTTATATTCGAGGCTGAGATTTTTAATCAGGAAGGGGGATCGAGGGGTTATGGGGAAAAGGTGGGAGAGCAGAGTTGAGGGTGATGATCAACTTAGCCATGATCTTACTGAATGGGGGAGCAGACTCGATGGGCTGAATGGCCTGCTTCTGCTCCCATGCCCTATAAACTTGTAGGAGTGTAGCAGAGCACTGTTACACATCACAGTTTTGGTAAGGGTGCTGTCTGTCTCCTAGGGTGGTAACGACGAATACCTGCGACTGGGGCTCTGTGTCCACCACTGACGTTGCTTTCCAAAGGAAGACCAGACTGACCAGTCGGTTCTTGAAACTGTAGCATTCGGGAGCTCGCTGTGTATCGTAAGTCTCCCTGTTGTCAGAGAAGGGCACCGACCAGTTTGCCTGTAGCCCCCACAGAGTGTGGGATGTGCATGTTGCAGGCTCTGGTGTGTTTGCAGGGATACATTGAGGGGCCTGGACACCAGGGAGAGATCTCTGCATCAATCCCAGCAGAGGACTCAAAACGGTGTCTGTGTGTGTGTGTGTGTGTGTGTCTCTCTCTCTCTCGCTCTCCCCACAGATGCTGTCAGACCTGCTGAGTTTCTCCAGCATCCTCTGTTCGTTTCAGATTTCCAGCGACTGTGATATTTTATGTTTGCTCCCCCCCTGCAGTGTGCCTGGTGCTATGTATCCCGGTCTTCAGCCAATTTGATATCAAGAAACGGTTGGAGACACTGGATACTGCAAAAGGATATGGGCCCTGACAATATTCCGGCAATAGTACTGAAGACTTGTGCTCCAGAACTTGCCGCTCCCCTGGCCAAGCTGTTCCAGTACAGTTACAACACTGGGATCTACCTGACAATGTGGAAAATTACCCAAGTATGTCCTGTACACAAAAAGCAGGACAAATCCAACCCGGCCAATTACCGCCCCATCAGTCTCCTCTCGATCATCAGTAAAGTGATGGAAAGTGTCATCAACAGTGCTATCAAGCAGTAACCTGCTCAGTGATACCCAGTTTGGGTTCCACCAGCTCCTGACCTCATTCCAGCCTTGATCAAACATGGAAAGAAAAAAGAGTTGAATCCCAGAGGGTGAGGTGAGAGTGACAGCCCTTGATATCAAGGCTGCATTCGACTGAGTGTGGCATCAAGGAGCCCTATCAAAACTGGGCATCAGGGGGCAAACTCTCCACTGGTTGGGGTCATACCTGGCACATAGGGAGGTGGTTGTGGTTGTTGGAGATCAGTCATCTCAGCTCCAGGGCATCTCTGCAGGAGTTCCTCAGGGTAGTGTCCTGGGCCCAACCATCTTCAGCCTCGGACCCTCCAACAACGCAGGATGATGCAGGGGCTAAGCCCCAAATAGTGTCTGAGTTGGCAGGGAAGGGTGGGGGTGGGAGGTGTTGGTATCTGAGAACGAAGGGTCTAGACCCTGATGGCCTACTTCCTCCTTCTAGCCCCACAGCCTGGTGTTGGGATGCTGCCAGCCGTGACCCAGTGCAAGGGGTCACAGGATGAGCGTCGAGCGAGTGAGCCCTTCGTCGCTCAGGGAGGAGGTGACGACGGAAGGAGACGAACAGGCTGTATCTCCAGGTAACAGCTCTCGCTGTACCGCGATCTCCCTGTGCACAAAGCAGGACCCCAGCTCTGTCACACTCTTTTTTTCCGCCCCCCCCCCC